ACTGTGAGTGCACATGCCATAGTCACTGGTAAAAGTTTAAAATAAGTAATACTAGGGTTTGGTATATCTGGGGGAAGAGAAAGAAGATAACAATTTGAAAGGGGGGAAAGCTATCAAATTTGAAAATATGCTCGCCCTGGATATCCATACCTATCTATTTCTGCAGAATTTATTCCAGAAGTTGACACACTCTCTGACACTGAACCCTGACTATCCTTCTTTGTAGGTTCCAATCCATTCTTTATATCATCAAAGTTTTCATATTTGAGAGCCTGGACCAGCTGTAATAAGTACATCAACAAATCCTGGAAAACAAACAAAAAGCAAGCTAATATTAGAAAACAAAGGTAATATGATTATAGACATAATTTACTCCAACATATCAAGGTAACATTTTACTTTTATCTACTACTTGTCAGCTGTGTTGCCTTTGGCATGTTACTGTTACTTCCCCTCTCCAGGCCTCACAGAGTCCTCATCTGTGATATGGACATAATACAAACCTTAGAGAAGAACATGAGAATTAAATCAGTTAATAAAAGGAAGTCACAGAATAGTGTCTGGCACAGAGTAAGTGGCCAGAGTAAATGACTTGTTTAAAGTAGTAATATCCAAAAAGGAAAAGAAAAAAAAAAAGAGTAAGGGGTTGGGGGGGATCAAGATGGTTCATGTGAAACACAAATTAAGAAAGAATTCCTTTCTTCAGCAATAGAAGAGATAACTGCCTTCTATGTTTAATATTACATAAGAAACTCCAAATTTTCAAGTTTTCAGAGAATTTCTTCTTTTTCCGGTTAGGATTTTAAAAAATCTTATGTTGTTATATTCCTGAAAGCTCAGGTTTTACAGCATTTGGTTTGCTTCTTAAATGTAAGATCCTGTAACACTGCATGACCCCATCCATGGAAAAATTGTCTTCCAGGAAACTCAGGAAGGGGGGCACACACAGCAGGAGGTAAGGGGCAGCAAGTAAATTTCATCTGTATTTGCAGCCCAGATCCCCACTGCTACCCAGCTTGAGTGAGCTCTGCCTCCCTCCCCCATCCCTGGTCCGTGAAGCTTGGGGACCACTGCTGTAAAACAGACATTTTAACTCTTTAAGAGAAATGCTTACTTTTTCTACCAACTGCTGAAAGAGGTTTGAAGAAAACAAACTGCTAAGGCTAAATTCCTCATAAGTCTATTGACAATCAATGAGATAATTAGGATCTAAAAAGTCATCAACAAAGTAGCTTAATTTTTCTGAGTTTTTCCTTGATGTGAAAATACTCTTTAAGTTTAATGTCTAGGATAATAATGTTTCCTGTATTATTCCATAAATGCTATTCTTAGCTCTTCCCAAGTATATACTATTAAAAAAAAAACTTAACAAATTTACTTTTAAAAATAACAAACTCAAAAATTTAAAATTTAAAAATGTATCTATTATCTTCCAATTCCAATTGCTACTCACCTTATTAGCCACTTGAAACTCCTAATTAGACAACTTTGAGACTGCCAATTCAACTTCAGTCTCCTTTTTAAGCTCACAAACCAGGTTAAATCTCCTGTGAATATTTCATGGCCCACTCTTTCCTATTTGTAACATCTATAGCAATTGCAATTACTTGCTTATTTGCTCTTTGTCTTTTCCACAATTTTATAAACTCCATAAGGACAGAGACCACCTCCAGCAATCTATATTTCCTTACTTAATACTACAGGCATACCTCATTTTATTTTTGCAACATTGCATTTTTATTTTATTTTAAATAGAATGGTCTGTAGCAAATCCTGTATCAAGCAAGTTTATCAGCACCATTTTTCCAACAGCTCATTTCCTGTCTCTGTGTCACATTTTGGTAAGTCACGCAGTATTTCAAACTTTTTCATTATTATTATATCTGTTATGGTGATCTGTGATCAATGATTTTTGATGTTACTATTGTAATTGTTTGGGGGAGCCACAGACTGCACCCATATAAGATGGTAAATTTAACTGATAAATGTGTACATGCTGATTGCTCCACTGGCCATTCCCCTGTCTCTCTTCCTCTTCTCAGGCCTCTCTATTTCCTAAAATGCAACACTATTTAAATCAGGCCAATTAAGAAACCTACAATGGCCTCTAAGTGTTCAAAATGAAAGAAAGAGATGCAGGTTTCTCACTTTAAATCAAAAGCTAGAAATGATTAAGCTTAGTGAGAAAAGAATGTCGAAAGCCAAGACAGGTTGAAAGCTAGGTCTCTTGCTCCAAATAGCCAAGGTGTGAATGCAAAAGAAAAGTTCTTAAAGGAAATTAAAAGTGCTATTCCAGTGAACACATGATATGAAAGCAAAACAGCCTTATTGTTGATATAGAGAAAGTTTTAGTGGTCTGGAGAGAAGATCAAACCAGCCACAATATTCTCTTAAACCAAAGCCTAATCTAGAGCAAAGCCTTAACTCTCTTGAATTCTATGAAGGCTTCTAGGTAAGAAAGCTACAAAAGAAAAGTGTGAAGCTAGCAGAGGTTGGTTCACGAGATTTAAGGAAAGAAGTTGTCTTCATAACATAAAAGTGCAAGGTGAGGCAGCAAGTGATGATATAGAAGCTACAGTAAGTTATCCGGAAGATCTAGGTAAGATAATTGATAAGGTGGGTACACTAAACAACAGATTGTCAATGTAGATGAAATAGCCTCCTATCAGAAGAAAATGCCATCTAGGACTTCCACTATTAGAGAGAAGTCAATGTCTTGCTTAAAAGCTTCAATAGACGGTCTGACTCTCTTTTAGGGACTAACACAGCTGATGACTTCAAGTTGAAGCCAATACTGTTTTACGATTCCAAAAATCCTAAAGCCTTTAAGAATTATTCTAAATCTACTCTGCCTGTACTCTACAGATGGAATGACAAAGCCTAGATGACAGCACATCTGTTTAAATGAGTATTTTAAGCTCATGGTTGAGATCTACTGCTTAGGAAGAAAGATTCCTTTCAAAATATTATTGTTCATTGACAATGTATCTGGTCACCCAAGAGCTCTGATGGAGAGGTATAAGGAGATTAATGTTGTTTTCATGCCTGCTAACATAACATCCATTTTGCAGTCCACGGATTAAGGAGTAATTTTGACTTTCCAGT